CTCTCGTATCCCATGGAACAAGTGTTGGATGTAAATCTGTAAGATATGAACTACACCATTCTGCATCCCCACAAAACTTATCTTCATCAAGGAAGGTATTTTTGGGTGATGCAACATCAGTAGAACTAGGTCCTACTGTCTGTGCAGAGGCAGAAAACTGGATGGATGGTGTTTCAGCAGTCCCAGATGCAAAATATTCAGTAAAAGGGAATCCATTAGTTGCTACTTCATTATCGGATGGTGCACTTTCAGCCAGATCACTTACACTATCAGAATAGGATAAACTAGATGTTCCTCTCTTGAATGAGTTGTTCCCATCATCAAATGAAGAAGAGATTCCAATTGATTGGCAATATGTAGAATTAGCCTCAAGCTGCTCCTCGTTTGCATCTGAATCTGTTCTAATTTTTAAGGCACAGACAAGATCATTTTTAGGTCTGTAGTCATAGTCAGTGTCAATCTCAGATTCCATGGTAGTAAGAGCATCCATGTAACAGTCAACCTCACTGGACTGGTCATCAGAATGGACTACATCAGAATGGGCTGGAGAAATTTCATTCATGCAACCATTAGCCATTGACACAGGCACCTTCCCAATTTCTGTATTTATGACATCTCCATTTGACTCCTCCATGGATGATTTAACAGCCGGTTCTTCTGCATTAGGTGATGATGAAGTGCTCTCCTTTTCTTGAGAAGCTTTTTCCATAGGGCTCACTGTACTAATTTCAATTATATCAAGCCCTGAATCACTAGAATTATTTGAAGCTAGTTTTAAGAATGGTGGAGTAACAGAAGTTTCATAAACGATTTTATGCTCTGGGGAATGAGTCTCCAGAAACTTTTCCATGTAACTCTTCCCAGATTTGGGGTCAAGTGGAGATGCATTTAATTGCCTTCTCTTCAATTTCACAGGACGAGCAGGGTCACTATAGGCATTCTCAATTCGCTCCTCCAAGAACAACTGACGAAGTCTGCATTGTCCAAAAGCATTGATTACCAATCAAACATACATGGCATCTAATCAACAAGTAGAAAGTCCAAAGCACGATAGAATTCAAGGACTAACTTGGCATGGGATGCAGGAATAACTTCTGGGCTCTCTCCATTTCTCCAGCGTGATCCTTTCTTCTATAAGAAACACAGGATTCAGGATCATCAAGACACAAGTCAGGACTTTGTAGCAAAGTGGCAAAAATTAAAAACTGAACCCTAGCATAGTGATTGTGAAGACAAATCCAAACCAGCTTTTTATCTTATAATTTCATTCTTAACAAGGAGAAGTAGAAAAGAAGGTTTCACAAGGATAGGAAGAAACTTTAGTAGTCTAAATTACCTTATAATCCTCAATATTATTAACTTCTTTTGTTTAGGAAACCTAGATATGTAAATTTTACAAATTTCCCAAATACAACAAATGCTACCCAAACCAACCAGGCCCCTAAATACAAAGTCTGCTTCCAAAAGTCCAATTCATGGGTACCTATCATGCACATTAATATAGAACAATAAAATTGTTCATTTTTCCAGAATAAATGGAAAACTGATACCAATAAAACTGTCATGTGAAGGACTGTGTATTCCCATCACAAGCTAAAGCTTTTCCCTAAAACCCACAAGAAGATAGAATATGAGTAATTGATTATGGATACTCAGAAGTTTTAGGTCATAATAAAGACCAGCATCTCAGGCTTAAAGCAACTTCCAAACAAGTTGTTCTCAAAAACGTTAACTATATGCACTTGGGATTTAATCCAATGACAGTGTTTGGCAAGTCCAACGTAGAACACAACCCCCCCAAAAAAAAAAAAAAAAAAATCTTGTTCCGATTAAAGTGAGAGACTTTCATCTTTTGAACATAATACCTTTCCTTTGCGGATTTTATTTTCTCTCTTGATTTCTACAGCTGCTCCAGAGGATGCTGATTCAACTTTAAAGAATGATGGATCAGTGTAACGCTTCAAACAAGCCCCAGCACCCGCAACATCGAATCTGGTATAATTTGCAATATAGCATATTAGAATCCCAACTATACAACTTAAAGTTCCTTACAAAAAAAATTGACAAAAGTTAATAATAATCAGAAAACCTTACTTGTCCAAAAGGAATAACCGAGGTGGAGCCCGGCATTCTTCATAGGAGTCCATCACACAACGAGGTAAGTCCCCACGAACTATCAGATTTCGCTCAGTGTGCAGATTAGGATGCCAGTCCAGACCTGCAGAAAGATAATGCTCATACATAACAATCATCTTCAGTCAGGAAATTTAGAAGCTAGGACTGGTGACAACTTTTTTGAAATAATACATCCTACGCTGTCAGTATATTTAGTGTTTCACTTAATTATTGTGCAAAGAAAAAGCTAACCTGCATTGGTAAAGAAGGATGCATGATTGGTCTGTGACAGTAATGCTTTCTCAAGTGATGGGACCTCTGCCTCAAGCTGTTGAACACGGACCATTAGACCATGGCCTCTTGCAGATGTTGTCATTACCTCTTCATGCAAGTTATGGAATATCTCAGCAGCAAACCTTTATCAGCACCGATGGAAAACAATTTAACACTTACAAGAAAAAAAATTGAAATTAAAGTATAAAATAACATAACAGAGAACATTTAAATAGTGGAAGCAATGAAACTACATTGCTCTTCAGCCTGAGCATCCAAAACAATATTGTTTTGATTGTAAGATTCCTAAATTTAGAAGTCTCGTACAGTTATCTTTTAAAAATATGTACAGCATACAAAATGCAGCTCATGTTTTTCATGAATTTTGTAATCAAGTGAAACAGTTCCTTTATAGTGTTTAAATAATTTCTAAAATTAGCTCTACAATCCAGTGTGACAGAATCTGTTGGATTGGCCAACTCTACAATCACTAGAGGCTACAGATATAAGCTCAAAACCAATTCGACCAAAAAAACAAAAAACAGAAACAGGAAACTGATTTACTAAATTTCTTATGATGTTCTCAAGTCAGAATTCCTAATTGCACAATTCAGCTGCTATAATACATCAAAAAAGCGATGATCAAAAATTAGAAATTGCATCCCCACTGATTTAGCATTATGATTACGTACAAAAATAAAAAATGATGCGAACAGACAGAAGTTTACCAATCTAATCATAAAGCCTAAGTCTAATACTTGAATTCAAGGCAGGTAGAACAAGGTAGAAACAGCGAAATTGGAATTCAAAAGACGCATTCTCAACCCCGAGAACTCTGAATTCATATCTTAACCAATTCATCATCTCGCCAACAACCAGAATTCAAGTTCAGACATATCGAAACCCACACCAACAGTAAAAAAAGGAAAAGAAGAAGAAGAAGAAGCAAGAAACAAACAGAAAAAAAAGAAAGAAAGGAAACAGAGAGCGAGAAAGAGAAGCTCACTCGGCGAGGTCGCCGAGCTGCCGCAAGACACCGACGAGTCCAGCCATCGCCACTCCTTCAAGTAACGCCTCAGGATCATCATTATCTGCGGCTCTGTACAGGTCCGGATCCGCCAAGCTATACTCGTTCCTTATCTGGTACCTGGTGAACGGCATTTGCGAACAAAATCAAACCGCAAACGAACCCTAATCTCTGAAGAATTTCCGTTTCATTCCGTATCTCCTCGATCTTGATACCACATTGAGAGAAGGAATTCTGGTGTTCTTGGACTTCCGGGGGGCCGCGCGAAATGAAGCCAGCAGTCAGACTTCTGAGTCAGGCGGCTTGTGAATTTATTTTATCTTTTATCATAATTATAATTTTTTTTTTTTTTTTGAGAGTATTAAAGAAAACGGTGCGCTCATCGTGGCAATTATTTTGCGCCTGTGGTTGTGGTCGGGGTGTTTTGGACTTTTGGGACCTACCATGAGTATTTTAATTTTTATCTTAAATTGGTAATAAAAGGACAACAGAAAAAAAGGCGATGGATTGCAGTTTAGATAAAGTTGAAAATGATACATCTTGTATTTATTGTTAATAGATTTAATTTTTATTTAAAAATTTTTAAGATATATTAAATTTTAAATAAAAATTTAATAAGTTATATAAATAATAATTAATTTTTTTATTAAATAAAAACACTTAATAAGAACTACATGTAGAGATAAAAAAATTTTTAATTGTTATTCATATAGACCATTAAATTTTTATTTGAAATTTATATCTTAAATATTAAAACGTCAAATTAAATTTATTAAAAATAAATTGAGAGAATATTTAATATTAATAATTATTTTTATTTATATAATTTAAAATATTTGTTATATGGTATTAGAGTGAATAACTAATTGTAGTTATTTAATTATAAAATGTGAAGTAAAAAAAAAAAACCCTCTTAATTAACTGGTTTAATAGCAATTAATTTTCTACTAAAAAGAACAAATTTTAGAGTTAAGTTGATGAATGACATGCGTGATGATAAAGAACATTATAAACAGCATGCCTTTGGTGTGATGATTGTATTAACTGTTTTCAATCTTCTAGCCTGAAAAGTAAGAGATCAATATCATCTGGCTGTTGCTCAAAAGGATATTAACAAAGCAGCTAAGATGGGATTTTTTTAGGGAAGCTTCGTAAAAGTTTCAGTTTTGGAAAGTGGGAAGGAGAAGTGCCCTTTTGAAGGGAACTGTTGGCTTTGTTTTCGCCCCTTTGCTTTCTGGTGACACCTCTTTGACATTCATTGATTCCTCTTTTTTTCAGATTAACAGATATGTTAGTTGGCTTTTCTCTCCTTTTGAGTTTCTACCTTGGTCCCTTATCTACTCTCATGTGCTGAATTTGCCATGGAGTTGAAACTGGATGCTAAACTTCACATGCATAACACCCACCAAACGTAACTACATAGGTAATATATTTTATTTAGTCGTAGGTAGTTTTCTGTAAAAATAATGGAGACAAAGACTTTATGAAAGATGATAAATATTGTGGATGTATAATCATGTAATCTTTGCTTTAAAGCTTTGGTTGAGAAGTTGGGATAGCTCCCATTATCTTTCTCTTACTCATCAAGAAAATTTTCTCCACCAAACCTACAGTTTTTTGTTGGTTTGTTATAAAGACATAGGTAGCCTAATTGTTGACATGGGGCCATTAAGGTCGTACTCATATCACATAGTATATTGATGTTGCCCATTCATGGGTTACCCTGTTTTTGCTGCCAACAAAGTCATTAGAAGATCAAGAATTTGTTATATGACTTAGGGGTTGGAGGTTATGTCATATATGTTTTTGTAAAGCTTTTAGCCACAATGTTGGTATCAAAATTTATTTTGGTGAAATTTTGAATCATATATCTTTGATTAAAAAAAAAATGAATTGGCTAAACATAATAAAAAAAATTGAATTGATTAAACGTAATCAAAACTCTCATGGGTTGTGAATCATTAATAAATAAATATTATTTTATAAATCAAATTTAAATTTTAAATTTTAAAGTTAGTATTTAATAAAATTAATTTTTTTAAATGCATTATATCGATATGGGTTACATTTTTTAAGATCATTAGAAAAAAAAATTAGTTTCAAGATATATATAAATTATCGATATGAAAATGCACGTTTAAAATTACTCAAAGAGAACTCTAATATATGAAAGGGTTTTTATTATAAAAATTATGGATATAGAATGCACTTTTAAGAGTATTTTTTATTATAAATGTGTATACAAAATTATAAAAGTTGATATTAATAATTAATAAATTAAATATTAAATATTATTTTTTAACATAAATTTATAATAAAAATATGTATTTTATATATTATTAACCTATACTCTTAGAGTACAAATTAAACAAATCTTATATAAAAATTGACTTAATAAAAACACTTTGATTGTCCAAAAAAATTTTTTAAAAGAAAAGCAATCAACCAACCTAAAACGCGTTAGAAGTACTTAATTACAGAATTAAAAATTGATTATAAAGCATCTAAAAAGAAAAAATTGATTATAACCTGGAAAATATAATATAAATTTTTGCGGATGGACCCATCACATGAATAGTTGATGTCGAAAAGGAGAAAACTGCAGTGTGGGCCTACACTTCGGCCTATTTGATTGATTTTTGGGCTCAAATTACATGGTGTTTACTCTTCTGCCAATAGTTTCGAGGTCCGCGTGTGTTAACATGTTGGGCTCACTGGAAACTGGACACGAAGTTATGGTCCTGTGGACTTTAGATCCTGGTACAGATGTTTGCATCAGTATAGAATCACATAGAAAGTTAAAATACTATTTAACCAACGAGGGGTTGGATCAAGTGGTAGGCGGCTTGTTCCAGCTTAAGTAAGGTATCGAGTTCGAAACCTTATGAATGCAGCAGCCCTCGCTGGAAGACTCACCCACTATTTTCAGGTGCGCGACGCGGGTCGGATCCGGATTAGTCGGGGTGAAGCCCCGAATACTGAACGGGAAACCGAAAAAAAAAAAGTTAAAATACTATTTGGATATGATACATACAAAATTTACCTATTTTATTTATAAAAAAAATTTAATTATTTATCTCTTTATTTTAATTATTAAAATTTATTTATATTTATTGAAGACAATTATTTTTTTATTTAAAAAATCATAATAAATTTTAATTATTAAAAATAAATAGATGAATTATTAAAATTTTATATAATTATAATGTGTAAAATTTATATGTAGATAAATTTTTTCTCTACTACATCACCTGAAAAAAAGAAAAAAGAAAAAAAAGGAAGAGAAACAAAGAGGAGAACACTAGTTTAACGTAGAAGACAATAAAATGGAAGGATTAGTCGAATTCAGGGGAATAAAACAATCCTGGTGCTTGCGAGGGTTTCCCTAAGACATGATGGGAAATTTAGAAATTGACGGCAGGACAGATCAGCAGCAGTTCATGGTGCTTTGAGATTACGGTAGGAAGTTTTTTTATATAGTCATGCAGCGTTTTAGGATGTATACATGTTTAGTAATTTTTTTTTAAATTACAAAAAATTACAATAAATGTATAATAATTATATATATATAA